CAAATTTATTCTTTCTAAGATGATGCCTATATAATTTATTTTATGAAATGAAATTTATCAGCTGTAGTGCTTCCTGAATCCTTCTTAGCCGTAAACATTTTTTTTTATTGACCAACAGGAAATTTTAAATACAAAGGACTAAAAACATGATTTATATATTTATTTTGAGGACTTCAAAAATGATCATGTTAATCACACAAGGTTTTTTTGTTGTTTTTTGTTTGTTTTCTTGTTTGTTTTAGACTGTATCTTGGTACATTATTCCTGTAAATTTTAAGATATAAATTTTACTCTGGATTTTTTTTTATCCTACTGCATTTAAAGAGAAAGGTGACTTTAAATGGATGTGATTCATAACAATCTTCAGTTTCTCAATGAGAAGATCAACTTCTGAAACAGTCTTATGTGTTATTTCATGTTTCTAAAGGCATTAGCAAACTCTCTTAAATGTGCTATTTGAACTCCATGGAATGTCCTTAGCGCTTGTCCTCTGACACTGGTCTCATGACATCACTTCTGTTCCTGCATATGGATTTTCCTTCATTGTGTAGCTGCCTCATCCACTCATGCATTCTCTTACTTGCTTTCTCACTTATTGACCCATACAATTGTTTAGCAAATATTTCCAAGTTTCTACTATATGCACAGTGCATGAGAATGAAGGACACAAAGGAACAAAAGGGACATTTCGTTCTTAAACTTGAAAGAGTTACCATAAAACCATGTTAAACAAGTCAAAAAACTAAAAACTGTAGGAATTTAGAAAAAAGGTGTTTGTTGGCTCAGATTATTTTCTAAGAGCATCATCATAATAATAGCTCCATTAATAGGCTCTGATTTTTCATAATATATATCTTAGCCTTTTTTGGAAAATGATAAAAATGCAGACAATTTAAAGAAAAAGAGAGGTAAAATAGTCGCTGTTTGTTCCTAGCGGTCTGTAAGTTAGATTGGTGTATATAATTTCACTTCACTGATATTATTCAGTGAAATGCAATCGTTTCAATGAATTTTTTTTAAAGAAGAACCACAGGATTGAACTAAGTTTTAAGTAATACGCAAACTATCCCTGAATTCCTGAAAAACCTGTTACGGGGAGAATAAAAACCAAATCCAAAGACAGTATTAAGCTTTCAAAGGACACAACATTAACTTTCCAAGCTTCCACTTAAAGTTCTCTCATGTTCCTCTCTCTCATTTTCTTTCCAAAATGCATTCTGAAAAGAAATTGTAAAAAATATTGCAGTGGGCTATCAGGAAGCACATTTTCAAGGTCCTTCGATGAAATCACTTGAGAAAGGGTCCAGATTTACATTCCATTAAAGAAAAAAAATATATAGTATTTACATAGAGGTGATCGTAAACTTAGCATTTGACTTTTATACTTCTTTTGCTTTCCATTATAAGCAATAAAAATTGAATTTACCAACAATAACAAAAAATGGAGCTTATAGGCTCACTTATCTTTTTTTATTAAAAAAATAGTCCCAGCCTATAGCATGTAAAATTTGGTATAATGAGCCTTGATGTTTCAAAAGCTGATGTCAGGGGACAGACATGGTTCACCTCCAATCATTTTAAAACAAGCTTTTAGTGTAGGTAGCTATATTGGTAGAGAATATGATTTAACAAAATGCAATATGTTCGAATCCATGTAATGAGAATTATTTGAAAAGTGAATTCTTTTTGTTCCTGATTTATCATTTAAATTCACTTAACATTTCTCCAGCTTCTTTCTTTTGGTAACCTAATAGAAATGGAATTTCAGAACCCTTATACAGCTTGGTCACTACCTCTGTCGTGTGTAATTAATCAGCAGGGACACTACAGAGGCTTGCTTAGGTCTTTCCTCAGTACTATTTTACAAGTTACAATTTTAAGCTTGTTTTGCCTCAATTTTTCCCCAGTGAGGTAAATGATATACAAATTTTTATCAACTTCGAAAAGGATCACTCACTTGATTTTTTATAGCATTGTATATCCTGCAAAATGTGCCACATTATTATTTATTGTCTGTGCACATAGATTTAGGATCATGTACAAACTAGTATGAATGTATTGATTGACTACCAGTTACTTTTTAAAACAAGAAGTTAGAAAACCACAGAAGTTGTTTGACAGGTGCTGATTTTTTTCCCCCTTAAGGACTGATTAAATCATCCTAAATCAGTCAAAAATTCAAACCATTTAGATAAAATAAGTATATTGTTAATTCATAGAATAAGGGAAACAAAAACCAAACATTTCTTCAAAAACATGATTCTAGTCAGTGTTTGCTGCTGGGCTGGAAAACAAAATAAAAAGATGCTCCCACCCCATCTTTGGCATCCTTTAATGTCAATGCCACTTGCTGTGATTTGTGCTGGGCAGGGGTAGTCACTGTCCCTTGATCCCAGTCCATTTAACAAGTACCGACACTCTGGGCATACTGTACAACAAAATAAATACATTAGCAAAACCATTTCCCCCTTCATTTCAGCCCAAGCATGAGAGATAGGTTACTTAAAATTCAAGTGCCAGGAAAGCCTATTGTAAAAGGGAAATATTTTCAAGTGAATGCCGTTTGATCTTTTTTTTTTTTTTATAGGGGCTCCTACCAGCCTCTCTCCCTTCCTCCCCAGACCCTGGAAACCAATTAGTCTCAGCACAGAGGCCACAGATCAAGTTGAAATGGCTCCTTTTTATTTTTAGGAGATATAATTTCAGCCAGGATGTCTAGTCAGTTGTCACATAGTATACTTAGCACACTTCTCACTCACACACACATCCATTGGGTTTTCCTTTGGAGAATGCCTAGATCTTTGAGTCTGACTCCTGGAAAGGAATTAGATCTGGTTGCCGTCCAAATCCTTCAGCTCCGACAATGGCATAACATCACAGGGCCACCTCATCTTTCACGGGAAGCCTTGCCAACCAAGTTTTCTAAAAGCCTTCTCTTCCTAGTCTTCTGTCTTCTAGCATTTCAGTGGCTTTCCCTTTCCTTAAGTCGTTTGCATATAATTCTGAAAACATTCCCCCCCCCTCCCCATTATCCAAAGTAGCAGAGAAAAGGGTACGAACTTTGATTTTTAAAACGTTTTTGAAGGGCTTATCTTTGGGGGAAATGTGCCCCAAAGACAAAATGAAAACAATTAAGAGTCTGCCTCTCCTCACCTCCCTATCCTGAACCTGCCGTACATAATTCATGGAGGTGAAAAGATTATCAGCTGGGTTGGCCTTTTCTTTCTCAGGAACAACATTACAGAGAGAAAGGGGTGTGTGTCTGGTGAGTTGAAAGGCTTAAGAAAGGGTGCATAGCTCTCCCCCAGGAAAGCCTAAGCTCAGCAGATGGGAGGGGACCCAGGGTCGCCTTTTTTGGTCTGAGCTGAGTGCCCCAGCCCCTTGCCCTGCCCCAGCCGCGAGCTCTGCGCCCTGGAGCTGTGCCAGGACTTCATACAGCGCCTGACAGGTCGGTGGGTTGGGGGGGCTGGATGTTCTCTTTGCAGAAGACGCCCCTTTGGAGGGAAAACTCCCTTTATTGTCCTGGGGCTCCGTAGCACCCCCTCCGCGGTCCCCTGTCATTTTCACGCTGATCACACTCATGATGATGAACTTGCTGCTTAGCTTCCTGCCGCCTGCTTGACCCGGGAGCACCAGCAGGCTGCCGGCCTCGCCCTCAGGTCCCTCCTCCTCTTGCAACCCCGGGGCCTCGGGGCGCCGGCGGGGGTTCGAGTGGGCCGGGGCGGCAGGAGCGACGCGCCGGGGCGCGGGGTCCTGCTGGGGAGCGCGCCAGGAGCGGGGCTCCGACCGCCTTGCTTCCTGGAGCTCTGCTCCTTTGACCCCAGTGGCAGTCCCTGTCACTGCACCGCTCGCGCTCCCTCCGGCTCGCCGCGCCCTCGCTCCCTCTCCTCGCCCCCTCGCTCGCTCTCTCCACAGATCGAGGTTGCGCTCGTCGTTTCTCCCCCCGCCTCCCTCTCACGCCGCGCCCCCGGCCCCCCGCCCCAGCCCGCCGCGGGACCTCCGAGGTCGAAGGTTCTGGCCCACCCGCGCCCCTCGCCAGCCCCGCGCGCCCCCGGCGCGCCTCCCGCCGGCTCCGCGATGGATCGCCTGCTTGCCGGGCGCTGAAGGCATCCCCGGGACCCGGAGCGCAGCCCGGGAAAGGTAATCCGCCCCGGGAAGGGAGGCGGAGGGCGGAGGATTGGGAGGAGGAGGCCGGGCGCCGGGTGCCGAGCGCGAGAGGAAGGGAAAAAAATGCACACACAAAGCGGAGCCCGGGTGAGAGGTGCCTTGTCAGAGGCGCGTGCGGGGGGCTCCCTGGCTGCGGACCGCGGCTGCCCCGGTGCCCCTGACATTCGCGCGAGCGGACACTTCCCGGGCAATTCGGAACCCGAGGAGGGCTTCTGTTCTACCCCCGAGCGAAAGCTAATTCTTTTTTAGGTGCTGTCTCCCTCCCGCTCCCCATCTTGCCCCTCTGCTCTTCTCCCCTCCCCCCAAGTCCTCGGCCCCCCGACCTCTCGGGGTCCCCGCGTCCCCGCCCCCTCCTCCGCGGGGGTTTCTTGGGAGGGGAGGAGAGGGTGTCGGCGAGGGGCAGCGGCCAAAGCCAAGTGGCGGGAATGGGGGTGGGGACGAGGGCACGGCGAGCTGTTTACTAGAAAGTCCCGGGGTTATGTGTTCGAGCCGCCCCGGCCTAGGCCCGGGTGCATTGTGTTGGCCCGAGCCCCGGGCGCCCGCGGCGGCCGGAGAGAGGTGCGGTGGCCGGGAAGGCGCCGCGCAGCTTTGTGCTCGGGCTGCGCTCCACGGCCGCCCCCGGGGCCGCCCGCGCCCGCGCGCCGCTGTCGCGCCGCGCTTTTCTCGCCCTGACCCCGCGCCCAGACCTCGCTCTTCTCTGCCGTCTCCGGTCTTCACGATCGCAGCCTGCGGAGCGAGCTAGTGACTCCGGCTGGGCGGCGGGGTACGAGCAGCGAGAAAAAGTAACCGCTGCCGCCGGATTTCTTCTGGAGAGAGAGGCAGGAGTTCGTTGCTATTTACATGTAACAGGGTTATCTTTGTGGAGCCTTTGAATTCCAGGGTTTTGCGGCCTAGGAGGTGAAGGGGGCATCCCCTCCCCCCCCTGGAGTTGGGGAGGGGGTTAGAATCTACAGCAAGAAAAGAAATTAAGGATGTCCCAGTGGGGGTAGATTTAGAGCACATTTACGTCCCCTTCAACACATCCCAAATTAAGTGCAAATGCAGGTCATGAAAAATGTGTAATTGATTGGAGATGCTGCAAACAAACACAAACAGGTCAGGGTGGAAAACACAAACAAAACTTTAAGTGAAAGAAAAGATTTCCGGGGGTGGGGGGGGGAATCCGTGGCCTCCACACCCCCTTCCAACCCTCGCTGGCTCCCTCCCTTCCTTTCTCCGCTGCTCCAGGGAAGCAGCCGGGCTGCTGCCCAGCGAAGAGCCGGGAAGCGACGGCCGCGGCTCCGGGCGCGGGTTCCGCTCTGAGGGTTCAGAGATGCCAACACGCCCGGGAGGCTGACGTCGGGGGCGTGGGGCTACGATGCCTCTGCGAGGATGGCGCGGTGTCAGAGCCATTGGCCGCCAGTGGTCATCAATCAATCCGGGGCTGGGGGAGAGGGAGAGAAAGAAAGACAGGCGCCCAGCGGAGCCGGGGGCCGCGAGCGCCAGCGCCAGCAGTGCCAGCAGCGGCGGCGGCGGCGGTGGCGGCGACGGCAGTGGCAACGGGGGACTGAACGAGTAAGGCGAGCTGGTGCTCCAGGAAGGAAGGGGGAGCTGTAGCCGGGACGAGACGGCCGTGAGCCGGGAGGGCAGGGCGCGCGCGCGCGCGCTCGTGTGTGTGTGTGTGTGTGTGTGTGTGTGTGTGTGTGTAGTTGGTGAAGCCCTCCCCAACCCCCACCCCCGATTTAAAACAAACACACCAATCCAAAGTAGAGAAATCCGCGCCCCCCGCCCCACCATATATAGACTCGACGCTTAGCCCGAGGCGCGGGAGAAAAGTCCTGCCCTTCCTCTCCGAAAGAATGTGCCAGCCGGGTGTCCGCAGTGCTGGAGACAAGTTCAGGTGTAAGTGCGGCGAGAGGGAGGGCGCTATGTGGACAGAGGCACGTGGAACTTTGTGCATCCCTCCAACATCCCTGGCAGACAAGCTGCCGGGAAGGTTTGTGAGCATCGCTCCGGGATGCAGGGATGAGTAACTGGAGGTGGACATAAAAGGGTAGGGGCGGGAGTTGACAAATCACTCGGTCTGTGCGGCAGAGGGAGGAGAGCGAAATTTGGCGGAGTTGGAACAGGCGAGTTCCAAAGTCTGGACAGGCGCTCTGGCGATCTTCTTAGGGCAAGTGAATAAAATGAGCATCCTTGTTTAAACGACAAAATCGCGGGCCCCCTTCTCATAGGCTATGCCGTGCGGTGCTCGGGTAGAGAGGTCATGAGTTGTTGCTTTGAAACTTTTGGTAAATTGGACTGGTGTTTAGGAGATGGAGACAGTTATTTAATTCCTCAGCTTTTAATCCTTTCATTGCCAACCGACTTTAAAAGGCTTTCCAACTAGATTCCTTGAAAAAGAAAAAAAACATTGCACGTTGCACAGCTTAAGGGACAGAAGTGATTGCTGTCTAGGAAATGCAAAATGTGCTCATATAATTTTTTTTAAGAGAAAAATCAAACGAGCACCAATGTAAACGTTTGGCAGTGCCAGTCCGTTTTAGATTTTTCTTTAGAATTCCTGACATTTAGTGCTATATTCCTTTGCTTTCTGGAGCAAATGTGTTGAAGTATAAAATTAAAAATTTTTTAAAGAATACTGGTCACTTTCAATATTATATGTAAAAAGTAATATAAGTGTGATGAAGATGAGACACTCCAAAATCTGATCATTTGGAAGCTTTCACTGCCTAAAAATGTGAAGCAAGGTGATGCAGCTTCTTGATAGTTCTAGGCAGCATACTGTTCTGTTTGTTTCACGCTGTTTTCAGATTTCTCGGGTTAGAGGAGGGGACCATTGTCCTGTCTGTGAGGTTTTTTTTTTTAAAAAAAGGTTTTAACCACATGTTGGTGTGGTTTAACATTCTTAGGATATGTTCATTTTGTGATGTGAGTGGGGGTGAACATAGCATTAAAAAAAAAAAAGCCTTTTCTTGACTCGCCTGCAAAGGTTCCTGTGAAAGTTTTGAAGCTTTTTGCCTCAGTCTGACATTTTCTTCAAAGAACTCCAGATTAAAGAAGATAGACGCTGCAGGTGCACTGTTTCGATAAAACATTTGAAAGAGAACATGGTAAAGATGAATTCAAATGAAGTGCCAGCCACCCATTTAGCCCTTCAGAGTTCTAGGGGCCTGTGCTTGCTGATGAAAAGATGTTCTGTTTGTCCTGCTGGGGCAAAGGTGCAAAGGGACACAGATGTTCACCTGACAGAAAAGACAATCCTACGTTGACTCTCCGATACAGTGGATCACTTAGGGGTGTGAATTGATCACCTTCTAAGTTCTGCCTCTCCTAGGCTTCCAGTGGAGTGTCTAATGCTAACTTCTGTTAGGTCACTGCTTAGATATTTACGTAATAGGTATGTATGCTTTCTTTCTAGTCCGTTTTGCTTAGTTTAATTAGTGAGTTTTCTCCAAAAACATTTAAACTGTTTCTGGCACCTGGTGCAGAGATGGTTACTGAGAGGTCATGATGGTCTAGACATGAATTTTGTTTCTTTCGCTTCTTAATGTTCTGTATTTCACACAATAGACATTGATGGCAGGAACATAAGAACTGCCATGTCATTTTTACACCACTCTCTAATTTGTGCAAACACTAAGTTCTTGCAGTCTGAAAAATGTGTGTTTTATTCCTCTGTGCTTTGATGGCTAACATTCTTTTTAATGACAGTCATTTCTATAACAGGAAGATGTTTTCATTTGTATTTACTTTTCAGCGTGGCGCAATTATGTAGTTTTGTGCTTCAGCAGTGTCTTGGTACTTTGTGTCTCAAAAGAGAATTACAGTACTTAGAACAGGACTGCAATTTGAAGCAGGTGTTGTGTTTTACTGTTATGCAAAATAACAGTAAAATATAATTGTGGGGGGAAATTAAGGAAACAGCTGCAAACTTGGTATGAAAACTGCTACATTATGATTTGTAAGCAGTTCTTATAGCTATTTTACATCAGAGGAGCAGGAAAAGATTTTAATTTCGTTAATCCTACTGGCCTGGTTGTCTATCAACTGGTGCTTAAAGGAAGGACTCAAACCTCCCATGAAGTCAGGAAGAAGAAAGAGAACCCAAAGTGAGACTTTGTTGAAAATGCCAGCGCACCAGGGATTCCTCTGTTGGCAGTGCTTTTGTACATTAGGAATGCAGGCAAGGTGGGTGTTGTTTAGCTCGCTTCGCTGAGATGAAGAAGGCAATGATTTGAGTAGAACGTGGTGGAATGTCTTAGCCCAGCCAGCATATGGAGGACTACACAAGCCCCGGGTTGTAAAATAATAAAATAAATGGCCTATGGCAGGCCATCTGCCTTTTGCTTGATATTTAAGGTGCTTCATGCCAAATTTAAATCTAATCTTATTATTCTAAATATTTTTATTTGAGATAGCAGCTAACACTCCAGAGCTTAATGGTGCACACGGCAAACGTATTTTGCTGTGGAGCACTTAAAGCAAGATGGGTGGGTTACCCCAGGGTTACCCAAGGACTGTGCCACCCGCTGCTGCCTCTCTGCAGCACTGATCAATTGCAACAGCCTCGATGCAGGGGTGCGCTTTCCTCAGTCTTTGCACACCTGCTAAAAAAATAAATACCTTCATTTCTGAACTCAGTGCAGCAAATCATAGACTGACATTTAGAAAAAGATGCCACACTAATGGAAACTTAAAAAAAGTGTGAAGCCAACTATTGAGAATTCTGCAGCAGCAAGCAAGAATGAGGACGTAGATATAATGGCCGCCTTCCTTTACTACTCCCTCCCAGCTCAAAGAGAGACCGGTAATGAATGCATCCAAAGTGGTGGTCCAAGCCTGGACGTGTATGACTTTCCCCTGAGTGACGGTAGTCTTTAAAGAAATTGTATCACATTGAGCAAGAAGGATTTGCTTCGCCATAAAGTTTGGGGCTGGAGTGGCGTGCATATGTATCCCAGGCGTTGAGTACCTATGTATTTTGGGAACTGCTTGTGAATGAAAAAATTATGTGCAACATGTGCATGTGTGTTTTGTGTAGCATAGGTACACACCAGTATTGTTACCAGCAGAGCATTTTAAATTTACATTTGTCATTGCGTTATGTGGCTGTGTTAAACATTGAGATTCCAAATTATTATATGACACCAACTTTGTACAGACCAAATATTCCAATTAGCAGGGAAGGTTTGGAAGAGTCTCCACTCTGAGCACAAACCATTTATAGTTCGACACCATGGCAACTGTGGATATGGCCCTTCTGTAATTCATGTTAAGTGCCATAATTATAATTAAAGAGGAAATCTTAGTTTGAATGCCACTGACATGATTTGCTAGCAGCCCGCAGTGTCATCTGCAGTGTCATGTCCACTCAGAAGCACTTGCAGGGTAGAGAGTTGGAAAAGGTTGTATCCACGAGGCAACAACACAGAGGAAGATTTTCCTGTGAACCAGTTTCATGTGCCCGTGTCACACTTGATGTCTCTTACCAACACCCTATTTTGTCTTTGTTCTCATTGTATACATATATATTTTTTTTCCAGAAACGCCCAGCGGTATTGATGAGTAGATCCTTGGGTTCAGAGGTTGGCTGACACGCACCATGCCTGCTTCCATCTTTTGCTCCGGAAAGTTGTGAGTTGCTCATGCCTATAAAGGAGGAAGGATGGCACATGGGGTTCCCTCTCAAGGCAAAGTTACCATCACTGTGGATGAGTACAGCTCTAACCCCACCCAGGCCTTCACGCACTACAACATCAACCAGAGCCGATTCCAGCCGCCACATGTACATATGTAAGTATCGCTCATGAACGTAAAAGAAAAAAACCAACTAGTAATCAAGAAAAGAGAAATAAAACAAGAAAGTCACTAATGACTTCTGCCAGGGAGAATAAAAAGTATATGATTCGCAAAACAGATGTGTGTCTGTGGTTTCAAACACAGCTCGGAGGAATCTCCTACATCTGTGTAACACTTTGAATTTTCAGAGTCTTTTCAACCACAATTTAACATTAGATCTTCAGAGCCTCTGAAGGGTGGTGGTAGGCTGCCCACATTTGATGAATAAAGAACAGAGAGGTTAAGGTATTTGCTGAATGCCACACAGTGAAGTTTTAGGCAGAGTCTCCTGACCCTTAGTTCAATTTTCTTTCCATTGTGTTGCTTGCCTCCATGATGAAATATTTCTTGAAAATTTCTGTGGTTTTTTTTTTCTCCCTCACCTCACCCCACTCCCCCTTTACATTCAACTGGGAAATAGGCCTAATTGGGACTAATTGTTCAGCCCCTGCTCAATCCATTGTCTTGCCTGTTGCTAGTGGAACGTGTGTTGCATGCCGCAGGACTCAAACAATATGGGGAACAAAGGATTGAGGGACGGAGGAACACTTGGTTCCAGGAATTGTACTTTTCTCTCACTCCCTAATACTATTGAAGTCCTGTTGCGGTTTAAACTGTTTAAGGAACAAAGTGTGGGGGAAATCCAGAGGCGAGGATTTTGCAGCACCTGGATGCACACCAGCTTTTTTTCTGTTCCTCTGCTACATACAGGATGTGCTGGGCTTTCAGAAGACGGGGCAAAAGGTCACCATCCCCCCCTGTTTATTCAAGGCCTGGTGCCCATTCTCTGTTAGACTTTCCAATGTCTAACATGAGTCTTTCATAGTAGGGCTGAACCTCTTTGAAAACTATTGTATAGTCAAGAGAGAAAAGGAGGTTAGGGCTCTGTTGACTGATTTTGCCAGTCCTCACAAAATTGAACTCAGGGCATGTCCTAGTAGCAAGCTCTTTTTTTAAGTAATTGTTTTATTTGGGCATAAAAAAAAATAGGACTTCCCTCCCCCAACCTCCCCTCTACCCCCCTCAAGTTTAGAAACTCTAATAAAACGAAAAGATCTTCTCTTGACGGCGGGTGTATTAGTGTAAAAACTAGGAGGTTACTTTGCAGGGATATTCAATAGAGCCACTCAATTACCTATGATGGGATTTTGGGGGAAAGATAAAAAGAAAAAGAGGAAGACATCCTTCCAAATGGTTAGGGCTAAACTATTTCTAAGAATTATATACTTTCTTTAATTCAGGATATATTCATGATTATGAAAGATTGCTAACATGATTTTAAGGAAAGGTTTTTAAGGTGAATAAGAATTTTTTTTGTTAAGATGGTTTTTCTCAACAGTACTTATGTATTTATTTCAAATATTTCTTTTATTCTACTTCTAATAATTTTTTTTTCTTCAAGTATGTTATAGAATTTGTGAAAATGGACTTAAGATACCTTGAGCTCTGTTTTGTTGGGGTGGCGTTTTGTATTAAAGAATTGCAAAGAGAACTTTGTGGATTCTGTCTCTTTTCAGGCAAAGGAAAGTATGTTTTGCCCCAGATTCCTTGGAAAGTGACTGATAGGGCATCTCAGCTTAGTCTTCACTTGTTCGTGGTCCTAAGATTCCACTTGTGAAATGTGAATGCACAGAGATATTTTAAAAATCAGGTAACTTGAGAACTGATCTTCTTAGTTCTAGCCATGAAACGTTTGAAGGATCAAATTAGACCTTTTTGGGGAAAAAAAAAAGGCTTTGAGAAATGGGGTTTGCAGTGGCAGCCTAGACAGCTCCTTGGAGTAGAGGATTCTTCTATGGTCTGGGTCCAGCTTGCCTTTTTGAGCCTTTCCATTTTGATGATATGCTTTCACTGTTTCTCATCGGAGACACTCACATTTATGCTCTGCTCACCAAAAGCCTCACAGCCAGTTCAGGCTCCTCTACACCTGTGAAACCCCTTTTCTGTCTCTCCCAGTCCAAACTGACTGTGCTACCCCCCGTCCCCCAACGCGATGCCCTAGTCACTTGGGGCATGCCATACTACCTCCATTATTATTTCTGTCTCCCTCTGTATCTCTCTCTCATCATTTGTTTCTTAAAGGCAGAGATTGAGCAGAGTAACAGGTGCTCAGAAATACTGATTGAATGACTGATTGATCCATCTATTGATTTGATTGTGCATTGAGATGAGGAAATTATGTTTGAGATTTGGAGATGTTCACTGGAGTTTTTCTGAGCTGTTTTAACATTATGTGAGTTTGCATGAAGGTGCCTCTCTATCGTCAAGATACCGGCTCACCTTTATCTCGTCTTTACTTTTCTGTGCTTGAGGTCCTGGCACAATGGCTGGTCATACTAGGCGTTCAAGTATCTTGGTGAAATTTGATTGTGTTATATTAAAAAAAAAAGGATTGCCTTTAGTCTAAATAGAAACTTAAATTGGTTGAAAAATAGCTATAAAATATTTAGTCTAAAATTTCTTAGTTTTTCTGAAATTTTCAGCATGTCATGCAGAGCTTTGCTCCTGTCCCTGAGGATATTCTGTCTTTTCCACTTGAATAGTTGCTCATTTGTTTTGCATGGGATTCTTAAAACATTTGTTTTCCTTTTTCACTTAAACTGAGGTCTGTGAAGACCCGGGACAGATCACCTGGATTGGAGTTAAAATCCTGCTCCCTTAAGTGATCTGTTGTTTTCTTTCATACAGCCTAGTTGGGGTTTTGTCACCTTAATTAAGGAATAGCTCACTTTCCATTTAATTCAGTTAGTCTCACTTCAGGTTTGTGACTCACCTTGGGCCATTTACTTCCCTTCTCCAGGTCTCAGTTTACTCCTCTGTAAACATTTATACCAAATAATAGTTATGGATCTCTTAGTTCTGACATACTAAGATTAAGATTGCAACTAAGATAATACTAATTTGCAAGGTGGTGTTGTGGGGGCAACACAGATACATAAGACTTGATTTCCATCTTCACGAAGCTCATCACCGATTTCATAATTGTTGCTCAACTGGCTGTAAGAGGTTTACTGCTTTCTCTTACTTTGGTTTCACCTGTGAGTTCTGATGAGGCTACCACCGAGTTTTCTAAGAACCACTGGCTCCTATCTCTGCCTATGACATTGGGAATATTTTTTTGTTAAAGAAAGCAATCCTATATGACCTTGAGAAATAAAATTAAAGCATGGCTGGAGTTGGCAGGGCAGAATTTAACCTAGAATTTGTGTGCCCCTCTTACCCGGACTCTTGAACACACTAATAGATGTGATGATTCAAAACCAACAATTAGCAGGGCTTCATTTTTCTACAACCCTTTCATCTTCCTGAGAAGGCTGTTGAGAAAATTATTTAGTATCTTTATTTAATGATGGTGGTAGGAGGTACTCAAGGAGCCAATGTAGATTTGAAAACACTGTAAAGATTTTGCATGTTTTTAATTATCTGAGGCCTTTTGGGTAGGGCATCCAACAATCTCAGTCTTCACATGGAAAGTCTCATGTTCTGGGAGACCCCTTAGTCCCACACTAACCAAGATGGCTGGTCATCCTCACAAAGGTTAAATTCCTCACCTTTGTCTCTAAGGATTGGTTGTTAGGAAGCAACAAATCAAGGTTTATTTTCAGTTTTAGTCACTTTGCTTGTCCGTATCTTCGATTGTCAACACCCTTGGAATTTTAGCTCTGGTTCTTTTATACTTGTTTTTGGGAGACAGTGTAGCATGGGGGTCGACATCTCCAGTGGAATCAGAGTGTTGGATTTAAAACCTGGTTGTATAACCAACCATGGGGAAATATATTAACTTCCCTGTGTTTTCTTTTCTCCATTTATAAAATGTGGGCGATAATAGTAGTACCTATCTCAAAAGGTTGCTGGGAAGGTTAAAAGCAGTATTACTTGTAAAGCTCTTAGAGGAGTACCTTAGTACGTGATCTATACCCAATAAATGTTAGATGTTATCGTTAATGATTGTTTTATTGATTTTGTGTTTTTTATTTTGAGCTGTGTCAATTTATTTTGAAAATCAGTAGAGTATAAATAAATGAATAAATGAGAAAAATCCCTCCCTGGTAAGTTTTGTCCAGCAAAGTTTTCTGGATGGAATTTTTGGCTGTCAGGGTTGGCATGCATCCTGACTTTTTGGTGTCTGTCAAGATCATAGACAGTTTAGGAGTGTCTCACCTACCTCTAGTTACTCCATGGGAGTGACAGTGTGACAGTCCTGGGGCCAGGGAGGGAGGGGGGAGAGGAGGAGGAGGAAAAATCCCATGATCTGAATGTTGCCTGGCTGTTCTCTGGGGTATCACAGCGACCTTTCTCCACTTGGGCTGGTCTCAGGGCCTAGTACCTCCACCAGTGTCTTAGGCTCCCCACCTGGCTGTGCTTAAAACAGAAGCATCAAGAGTTAACCATAATTAACCAGGGTTGATTATGGGCAATGCTTGGGCTGGAGAATGAGGACAATATTCACATGGTAGCTGAGAATGTGGTCTGAAATCAGATATTTCTGTACAAACGCTGATCCCACCAATTATTGGCTTAGCTGGGTGGTGATGGGCAAATTACTGAATCTCAGTCTTCTCATCTGTAAATGGGTTTAAGGACCCTTTAAAATGGTTGTGAGCATTAAATGAGATCATGTATATGACATATAGTGCCTGATAGATAACACTTGATAGATGTTTGGATAATATTTATGGTCTTGTCCATTTGCTGGTGAGCATGAGATAAATGTTGTCATCTTCCTTTCAGAACTGGTTGGTGGCATAAAACCTGACAGGTCCAACTTGTGATCTTGTTGCTTTGTTGCATTATACAGCATCTGTCAGTGTTTGCTTGGACATTGCTAATCAAAAATGATCTGAAGTGTTTAGGGTATTTGGGTGATCATGCCACATTCTTATAGGATTCTGTCTGATCAGAAGTTTCATTCTTATGTGGTAGGAAGTAACTGTTGGTTTCAGGGCTGTATTAGC